GACAGCTGCATCCTCAGGGAAGCGAACAACTTGTTATGGTGAAAACAATTTATTACTGAGTCACGTACACAGGCAACCTGATGCGCTGAGGAACGCATCTCCAGCCCCGGTTCAACACGGTCTTAAACCGACTGACCTAAGCAAGATTTCATGCTGACCGTTTTCTGTTGTTCTCCACCACAGGAGAGAAGAGCTGTCACACAAGGTCCACGCGAAGGCTCTTGTGGACAGAGCCAGCGAGCAAGGGGCAGAGTGGGAGCGCGGCACCGCGAGGACCAGAGGCTTCACGCCAAGAGGAATGAAACCCTCCCGCAGCGATTTAATCCTACGCTCACGCAACATCGGGGTCACTGAAGTAAGGTTTAAGCCTGGGAAAGGCCTGAGAAGAAACTGTAGCTTTAGTCCCTTGTTGGTCATTTTACTCACAGATTTTTCCAGACGTTTTCCCAATCCTAATGAGTCTTTTTCTGAAAATCTTCCCAATATGGACAAGTACAGCTCACTTGTATCAACCTCAGTGGTACGTACTGCCATTTTGGTGCGAACCCATTAAATAATCTCCTTTTATCCTGCTTATGTGCAAGAAAATCAGTGAGGGGCACTGCTCTCAAAGTGCCAGTGCACGGCCCACACAGGCACCATAAAACTTTGCTTTTGGGAAGAAGGTGAAGCCGTATCACTATGCTCCAAGCCAGCTCCAGGTAAAAGGTTTGAAACCTAGATCCTGTTTGGCTGGTGACAGACTAAATCAAGTACTAATACAGAAGGGATTAAAGGACAGAAAACAAAAAAACAACAAAACATGGATGGCAAATCTTCATCTCCTCAGCCTTTTTCTGCTGTGGTATAAATGTATTGCACAGGTAACGCCACATCCTGGTCTTGAGAGGAACGGGATCAAGAGCTTAACCACAAACCTCTGTCTTGGGGGGGGAAAAAGGCTAATTTCATTCTTCTGCATGGGAAAATTCCCATGACTGTTGTATCACATCCCACCTCTCTAGCTGGTGGCCAAACCAGGGTCATACCTGTATGCGGAGCAGCCACCGGAGTGGGATACAAAATATACGTGCTGGAGGATGTATATATATAACGGAGAGTTAATACATAAGAGTTTCAGTCCAGCTTCCTGAAGTTTGGCTAGTTCTCAAATTGCTTAGACCTTCTTGTTCATTCAGGTCACATCAGGAACAGAGATCTGTGTTGCACAACCAGTGGAAAATTAGCTGGCAAGACTGGAGAAAAAAAAAAAGGTATCCATAAGCCAAAGAATTAATGGAAAATGGCAATTAATCTAATGGAGCACTGAGTCAGGGACCAGACTGGAAAAATGCTGTGTGCTGAGAACAAGTTTCTTGGCATTTGCCCACATACAAAGAAAGTGGCTTCCCTGATTATCTTAATTCTTCAGGAGAGCCCTCAGCTCTCCTTGAGATTGGATAGCCCTCTGTGCTTTCAGTACTGCATGTCGGGGGGGGGGAAATTCTCCTAAAATCCAAATTCCCCCTCATTTTTAAGTGCTTCAGAGCACCAGTCAGAAATTTTTTAAACCAAAAGTTTTTTTTTTTAAATCCGAAACTGCCAAATGGGAAAAAAAAACTAAAATCTTTTATGACAACATATTTCAGTTTTAGCAAAATCTATAGCATGAAATTTCCTCCGACTGATGTTTATATTAAAAAAAAAATAAAGATCCAGCTGGACAGGATTTTCAGCTGAGACTGGGAAGATTTGCACCTGGGTTGTGAAGTTAGCCTCTTTCTCAGTTACTGCTTTTGGAAATAATCAGCTCTACAGTGAGGTTGGGCCAGGTGAAAAACCGACCAATCAACCAGTTTACCTAGCTCTTGTCCAAACACCTTGCCCCAAGACAGAAACTTATTCTCTTCTGTTGAAATTTTGCCCCTTTTGCACTCGACCATGCCCTCGGCTGCCGCTAACAGCTCTTTCCAGCATCAGACAAATTAAACACATGCCATGTGTGCGGTACGGTAGGGTAGACCAGGAAAATAGGATGTTCTTTTTAAAATTTCATTATCCCTATAGTGTACAAATAAACAGTATTTCAGAGTAAGTAAAGATCAAGCACTTGTGCAAAGGGCAAAACAGCTTTAGAGCAGGGCTTCCTTATGGCAAGATACTCTTTAGACTAATATTATGATTAGCATAGGACATCCGAGGGTATTATGCAAATCTGCAAAATCTACACTTGAATAATCAGCCAATTATGCAGCATCAGCTGCATCAAAAGCTTTTCAAGCCTTCCGCAAGTCTTCTTCAGCAAGAAAGGAGCTATTTTTTTTGGTTGGGGCAGGGGGGGAAGCAGCAGATTTTCCTTTTCTAGCATTCTGGCTTGCTGCTTGCCATGCAATGAAGGGAGAAGCCATAGAAAACACAGGCTCTTTTCAGGTGGTATATAAAAGTTGTGCTGCCAAATTTGTGATTTATTTAGAGTTCAGTATTTCTTCAGGCACTTAGTTTGCTTTTTAATTGAGGCCAGAACATTATCACTTAAGTACATGACAGTGTTATTTAAAAAAGCCCAAGCGCCCCTAACTACAGCAATGTGGTGCAGGGTATCTACAAGTCTTGCTCCTGAAGTTTGGGCTATACAGGCCAAAATTTAAATCCACATAGCTCCTTAAAAATCAATGTTGCAAAGGAATCACTGTAGGCAAGATCTGGTATTATGGTTTCGAAGGGCACTTAGATGGTTCTAAATAACGTAGAGCCTTTTTATGGCTCTACCCCAAAAACCATTTGTTCAGGGTCATACAACACAACTAAGTAATTGAAGTTTGGTGTCTCAAACCTATAGCCACTCCTTTTTCCTGGGATTCGCCTTGCCTGTCCACACTGAAATCCCAGGATACAGCGACAGTCTGCATAGCCAGGCTTTGCAAGGTGCTATAAAGAGAGTTACCCAAAAACATTACCCAGAGTTCTGCTCTTAGGTATGCTAGGTGAGCATTGCTATTGCCTTGAAGGTAGGAAGCTCACACAAACAGAAATCAATACAGAACTGCTTTTATAGGAGGAAAAAAAAAAAAACAGTTTTAATTGCCAGCATCACAGTAAAATTCTGAGAGCCTCAGATATATGGACTCATGATAATTAGAAAGGGCTATGCAGTGTTTGCCCATTTGTTATAAGAGCTAGAGGTAATATATCATAAGCCTATGAAAGCAACCAATAAATAATTTGGCTGTAACAAAACGCATTCCCGAACACACGCGCTCTGCTCATTCCCCTTTGAATGTTAGGGACGTTTAAGGCCAGCCATCCTTACAAGGCGTCCCACCTTGTCTTCTCAGGCATCTTCAGCCTCCAGCTACGTCTAGCAAAAGCCACCAAAGCGATCCATCAGAAACAGAAGAAATCTCATGGCCAAGTTACTGAAGTGGGATTTGAAAGTCCTAGCTAGGACCACAGACCTCCTCTTTGTCATTGCCCTGGTAAGAAAGGGGAAGGAAAAGCAAACAAAGCAAAAATTGCCACCTGGTTTTCCCCACCTGGCTGGTCTCACTCAGGGGTGTATAAACGGCATGCGCAGGACTAGGACTCTCTTGCACCTCTTTTCTTTGTGTAGCGCCCGATACAGCAGAGCCACAGCCTCGGCACTGGTCACATACCCTATAACGTGCAAGGACGAATGACAAACCTGCTTGGAAAACCTCCCGACACTTCCTGGGAGGCAACCATATGATCACAGGCTTGATTAACTGGACAAGTTATCAGCTAACGAGTCATTTCCCTAATTTCATCTGTGAAAGTAGTGCCAGAATCGCAACAACAACAAGAAGTCACACACCCGTCCACAGCAAAGCCCTATCGTATCGTATTTTACATCTCACCACATCAGTGTAATAATAACAACCCAAACGTCATCAGTTACAATATCAGCTGGGCAGAGGAGAGAGGGAAAAAGGGAGAGCGAAAGAGGGAACAGAACACTTCAGCGCATATATCTTGGCAAGCAAGTTCTCCATCCCAGGCAGCATTAAGAAAGCGCCAGTCGGTCTGAATAACGTGAGCGCTAGAAATTCATAGCGGGTTCTATGGTAGCACTGAACAAAAAAAATAAAAATAAACTCAAAAAACAAACAAAATAAACCCACAGCAACTCTCTCCATGGCTATAAGAGCTATGAGGAAGCTCTCAGAGCTTTCTGTAAGCAAGGATGTTAAAAGAGAGCAAGTCTTGTAACATTTGTTAAGCCAATTTGTTAATTTTGGGCGCTCAGGTATCAAGCGGGACGCTAACGCAAAGCTCCAAGACAGTTCACGGAGCAGCGTGCCGGAGCCGTCTACACTTCCCATCTGTGGGGAGCAGATAACAAAAAGCAAGAGGCAAAAATGGAAAATTTACACCCTCCTCCTTTAACACCCAAAGCAATCAGGCTCACCTGTAGAGAGGCTGAAATGCATGAAGACGACTGGGGAAGGGAAGGAGGTTTCTAGGTGCTACGGTAACAAAAACAGTAAGAAAGAGAAGGAAAACCCCAAACGCTTTGTTTTTCACAGAACTGAACACCAAAGCAGAGATCTGCACACCCAGCAATGCCCTAGACTGTACCGGTCGCTCTCTAGGGCGGCAAATCAGCTTCCAGTTTGAACGTCATTATTTTGAACTCATTTCTATACTAGTGTTTGAGAAGTTGCTACATCTGCTGTGTACAGGTCTAAACACAGCGCTAACTTCCAGCATCGGGCTAAGCGCAGCTTGTTCCAGTTCACGTTAATCTAAAACACATAACCATCCCAACCCTTGCCTCAAACTGTAGCTACACGGATGTTTAACTGGGGTCAGGAGAAGCTAAGGTAGGTGTGCAAACCCACCGGGAGCCGAGCAGGTGACTCCAACTTTCGCTTTCAGAAACACCAGGTTTGGGAAGAGCATGGGAAATGGGACGAGGAGGGGGGAAGGGATGCAAACCATTGCTCACCAAGAGATGACATGCAAGAAGTTTAGGTTATATCACACGCGTCCCGCTCTCTTACCTGCTTCCATGAGCTGGCACTGCTGCCCAAACACCTGGGAGAAGGTAACAGGGCCTGTCGCAGCGCTGGAGGTCACTGGTGAGGGGTCCATCGTGTCCTTCGGGTCCTTGGCGTTGGTCATGGGGCAGAGCCCAGCAGCTGCGACGAAGCCCCCCGCTGCCCTTATGTGCGCAGGGGGAGAAGGACCTCGCTTGGCAACACCACCTCTCCTCCAGCCCGAGGTCTTCTGCTCGTGGGCCTGAGGCTGGTGCTGGTGCTACGCCTGCCTGGGTTCAGCCATCTCTCCGTCCCTCCATCTCTCCAGCTTTGAGCCCAAGCTTCACATCAGGAGATCACTGAGGGAAGCAGTTCTTCCAGCTGCTGACACCGATGCCAGAGGAGCACGACCGAGCCCACAGCCGTGTCCCCAAGATGGTCCCCGTCTCCGCTAGCCGCTCCAGCTCAATCCCTCCTCCCGAACCCAAGCAGCTGTCTGCAGCAGGCACCTCTGTTTGCAGGAACTGGATCAGCTCTTGGCATCAGCCCCCTGATTTATTCCTTCCTTACAAACCTCTCTCCCTTTCCCCCCAGTAAAACTGGCGAGTGGGAGGGGATTGGAGCCACGGTTAAATAACATTTCCTCTGCCCTGCTGCAGTGGCTCTGCCTCCCTCCCGGTCCCCCTCCCCCTTACTCACAGCTATACTGGAGGCACATGGAAGTGCTAACTCAGCCAGGCAGGAGAAAGCTGCTTGCTTTAACCCTCTCCTGCCTGCAGGCTTAGAGGCACAAGAGAAAGAGTTGATGGTGAGGGCTGGTATCTAAACGTGGATACGTAATCCGGATGGCTTTGCCTGGCGCAGCACCACAGTTGCTGCCCTGTCGTGACTATTTCGGTGTAAGCACCAGGCAGGCTTGTTTTGGCGGAGGAAGGACCAGGAGTTAACTCCCAGGAAAGTCTGACACAGCTGATTCATCCTTATTTTAAAAACTCCACCTGTCAATGCAAGGGATGCTGACTTGGGGAGCTCTGCCTGCTTTTCTCCTCCGAGGAGTCATCGGTGCTTTCTCTGGGAATGAACACACCACTACAGAAACATGCACCATGGCCTTGGTGGAAACACAACACTGCCAGATTACAGCAATAGAAAGCCCAAGGGAGGAGCATGCACGTCGCCTGCTCCAAATCCCTATTAGAGGGAGGCTGTTATTAGCCCCTTGCTGCGGACGGGGAACTGAGGCGAGGAAAGGCTAAGGGACTTGCCCAGGGAGAGTTTTGTAGCACGGGGTGGGGGATCGAAGCCAGGTCTCCCGATCCGCGCTGCAGCCTCCTTCCTGCAACGCCACTGCACAGGGTGCAATGAACTGCTGTGTCAGCCAGCACATCCCCGCTTCACCTCTTTGCTCTATCTGCTCCCTCTCCCTGCTAGTCTGAAAAAAACCCTGGTAGTTTAAGCTGTGAAACAGCTGCTAACCCGCTTCTGTGCTATGCAAGCTCTTGCCTACCGCGGGACTGCTCCATCCTATAGCAATTAAAATGTTTTCTGGCTCAGATCAATTGTGGTAAATTCCAAGCAAACAAAACGTATACATCTTTGCACGTTTCATTGCTCAAGGCGCAGGAGCAGTTTCTGTCCTCGCAAGCAGAAAGGAGATATAAATAGCTTGACCTTCTTGCCAATTGCATGGAGGAAAAGCAAAAACTGGCCCATTCTGTCCACCTGCCTGCAACATTTATATATGTATTTTTGCAGCTATTTCCCTCCCTTCCTGACCTGCAGATGTCAAAGGGTTTTTTTCCAGAGCAGTACAAGCAAAGCCAGTCTAATGTGCGCTGGGATGTGGAAGAATTAGAGAGGGAATTTCCTGAGGTTCAGATTAAGTGAGCTGCATGTTTCTTTTAAAGCTACTATCCATTTTACTCAATTCCAGATAGCTTTCTTTCAGAAAAAAAGAAGGGTTCAAGACTTAGCTCAATAAGATCCAAACTGCACATTGCACTTTGTAAAGTATCTCAAAGTGGGGAATGATTATTACATCTCTTGTACAGAGGGGAAAGGTGGGGCATAGTAAAGACATTTGCAAAATCAGGCAAAAAGCAAGTGGCAAAGCAAGAAGATGGAAGTCATTTATTTTATGAGTCCACAAGAAATGATGTCAGATATTCTTGTCCTAAGAGAAGAAAAAGGGGTGATGGTGGGGAGGAAGAAGGGCACGGGCTCTCAATCCAGTCCTTGTTCTTCCACAAATGAGGACATTAATTTTAGGCAAGCTGCTTCACCTCTCTGCTGCCCGTTTCCTTGCTCTGATGATGCCCAGCTGCCCAGGGGGAAATGTCATTTGGGCAAAATCTGCTGATATTTGGAGCCTAAAACAGAAAGATCTAGAACCATGCAAAATATCAGAAAAGGCTGATGTAAGAAAGAGTGGCATCTAGTTGAAAGGAAAGGGATAAGGTTAAAAAAGAAAATTACAAAAGAGATTACCTGAGAGTACCTTCCCCCTATGGCTTTAACTTTTCCAGCTCTTCAAGATTTCAGGCATTTAGTACTAGCGAGCAAACAAAAATGTATTTTTCCTCCTGCCCAATTCCACTATGCATCAGGAGCATGCACTGAAGGCTCATGAAAAGCAAAGAAACCCCAGTAAAGCTTAGAAAATCTGTATTCTGCAGAAGTTAAGGGCTCTGCCACTGATATGACGGATACCCTGGAAGAGCGAAAGTCAAATAAAAGCGTTAAAACTTGTTTGCTGTTTGGTTTCCGGAGCGTGCCTTGTAGCTGCAGTAACGGGGAAGGCAGCAGGCTGGCCACCCCACTCCGCTCGCCACGGTGCTCCCCATGGAAGCAGAGTTTAATGGTTATATACGGGGCACCTCGCGCACAGCACAGCGCGCCGCAGTGATTGCACAACCGCCTGCACCGCGCACGCCGAGCAGCCACGCTTCATTTAGCAGTGGTGTTCACCGCTCACGGCGATTACATCAAGTCAGTACATGTTGCAAAACAACAGATATCAAGAAAACAAGCTCTTGTTTGGGCTAACCTGGAAGCTGTGCACCCATCCAGCATCGATCACCTTCTCGCCCAGCCGGACACTGGGAGCAAATCTCCAATGTCACTCCCAAGCAGCAGTGCATGTTACTTAATGCAGCCCCACCGGCATAGACCGTGCTCTTGGTCACACACACATTTCATCTGACAGCTTTGCTCCCTAAAATCATAAAAGCTGAACGAAGAGCCTGCCCCTTCAAACGGTAAATCCTACTCAAAGACGGTGGTACGATTTCCCTTGGGCCCGTATTACTCTCAGTCAGTCCCTGATGAGAGCTATAAAGCCTCTGTTAGAAGCAGGCTGTCATACATCAGCTCATCCTGGCCTCTCCTGCGAGCCAAAAGATGCTCTCAATTTAGGACAACTTTGATTGTTTAGCTTAATTCTGAATCTATTTACAGAGGGAGGATTCCAGGTTCAAGTGTTAAAAATCAGGACTGTTAGGGATGCTTCTGCATTGGGGCCTTCAAAAGAGACTGAGAATGAGAAAAAGATGCTGAATGAAAGAGAGGATGGGCCAGAAAGAGAAGGAGTTTTCCAAGGCACAGGTGCACAAGGCACCTAGCTGTCTTCAAGAGTAGCGGGATGCGGATTTGCAGAGAAGACAACTAGGAAACCCCCAAAAAGACCACAAAGCTCCCAGTGCAGATGCTTTCGTCACATAATGCCCCTACGGTTATGAGAACAACTCACTTGGGCTAACTGCAGATAAAACAGCTTCCTTGACCTGACCTCTGCAATTTCTTTCACTTTATTCATACATCTCCCACCAGGATAGCATACAAGCCTGCCCCGACCTTGCCACCACAACATAAGTATATTCAGCTAATGCACCTTTATTAGCACTTGGTCTGGAACGATTAGCATCTTTGTTGAAAAGGTTCCTGATATCATTTCATGAGGATGTAGCAACTTATTTTCTCCTCCCTGATGACCAGTTGGTCTGACAGGAGTTCAGGAGTCCTGAGCAGTAAAGAGCGGCTTTGTGCAACTCCAGCGAAGAGTCCGGAGCGACGGCAGAGCACAAGCAGTTCGCGTTAGGACAGAAGAACCTCGACAAACGCCAGCTTATTAGATATCTGTTTCTCTTCCATATCTAATCATCTCACTGAACAGACAACAATGTACCACATGGATACGTAAGAAAGGGAGAGAAGAAACTCAATTAAATTCATTATATTAGTAGAATAGGTGTTTCATTATGGTGATATTTTAACATGTCAAGAAATATCCTTTGCAAGAAATGGGGACTAGTCACAACAATGTTCTTAGTAGTGAGAGACTCTGGAGCAGAAGAGTATTCAAGACAGAACACATCAAAATTCAGACATGATCTTTAATGAGAGCTCACAGTGAATTTGAAGCAATGCACTTAAGGTTTGGCACTGGAGACTGCAATAGCTTAAACACATTTATCCCTTCCTTCAGATACCTCTCTATCAGTTCTTGGCTGAAAGGGAAGTTTGGTTGGGCTTTTTTTCTCTCCAAAAGGAAAATTTTGAATGGTTCAGAACAGAATGATGTAAGTGGTGCAGAGGAGAAACGTTCTGCTTTAAGAGACCTAAAGAATCGTGCATGTAGTTTATCAAACGCAAGACTGAGGTATGGTTTAATTAATTTATAAATATACTTGTAGAAAAGAAATATCAAGTATGAAAGGACTCTCATCAGACAGCGATAGGCGCAAGCAGCTGAATTTAGATATATTCACTGCCTATTAGCACCCAGCACTAACAGAAGTGGTCTGGATTTTTCACTTCTCAAAGTTAAAGTAACATGTATCGCTCAGAGATGCACCTTGGCTAAACATTAGTCAATGGAGAAACGAGAGAGTGAAGCACGACGACTTTGTCAGATAAGCACTCTGGCTGGAGGACGATGTATAATGTATAAGAGAGCAAGGCTATTTGGTAGATGAGTAGATGAGTTACTGTAATGAGCAATATATCTTATAGCACAAATATTCTGACGTAGCACTGAGGAGGAGCCTGCGGAGGATTGCCTATCACCTATTGCCCTGTGCTTTGCAAAGCCTTTGACACTGGCAAGAACAAAGGCAAGGAAAACATACGTTCTTTCTAAATAAAATCAGTAACACGTACGTTCACTTACCAAAGGCTGTATCAGCCCCTGCAATGCTCTCTACAGCTAATATCCCTATTGAAATCTTATACTGACTTGGTTCATTTCCAAATCACTCCTACTCTTTTTGCCGTATTACTTAGAAACAGCAGCGAGTTCAGCACTAGAAGTTCTCCAGAGCATTTGCACACAGAGCACAATAACAAAACCATAAATACCATCTTCTTCTCTAGTCTTCTTTGACATTTATATACAAATAATTTCAATGGGGCAAAAGGCTTAGTCACCCAGGCAAAAGTCAATTTGGAGTGTAAATGAGAACAACAGAAACACTTTCAGAAAAATGACAAAGGGCCTCGCACGCCTCATTTGCTTGTAAACGCATTACTGAGGCGTGCTAAAAGCATCATATGGTTCCCTGCCGAAGAAACGAACAAAAAACACTGCTAAGCCTTGACAAAGTCAAGGTGACCCATGCTTAGTAGAGCAGTAAAAGGCAGGGAAAAAATATTTCTTTTAGCATCTCATATTTAAGGTTAAATTTCCAGATCAGTCTAATCTTCAACAACTGCCTCTTCCACTTCCAAAGCAGCTGCAGAGCAAGTCGTAAAACATATGCGACACAGCTTAACTCTTAAATCCCTTCCCCTAGAAACTCTCTCCTGACCCCCAAGCACCTGTCTGCTCCCCATCCCCTTTTTCCTTTGAGAATAAATGACGATTGCTGATGATCGGTAGGCCAGAACATGCTGCCTAGTCAACTCCTGAGGCTAGTTCATCCCTAGGCTGAGAAAAGTGTCTCTCGCACTGAAAGGCATAGCACTATTTCTGCATGCCCTCTGGGGCCCTTGTGAAACTGGGTTGGTAGCATCCACTTTTTATTTTGTCCAGGCTGCTAATCATTACTGGCTGTAATGATTTCTGAGCAATGATCTTGGCTTGAAGCAAGCCTGTGACCCAGAGGTGAAAGGCTTCATTGCTCATAATCCAGGAGAAAGTTACTCAGCAGGGCTTGACTTACCTTTCTGTTTCTATTGTTCTTCCACAGACGGCCCACGTCACATATGAGATGGCAGGCTGTTAAGGATCCTACATTGGGCGTGCAAATGTCTTCCACGTCTGCTAAGTATTTTTATCTTGAACGTACACATGGTACTCTGCATGCATTATAGCCTTGAAGACTACTTACAGTTGGCACTGGCATCAACGATAAAAATGGCCTAACCAGTTCTCTCTCTTCCTCTGAACATCAGCACATAACTGAGATTTTGTTAGGGGATTCTGCCTTTGGCAATCTCATGTTGCCCGCATCCTTCGGTCTCCTGGCTGCTGCAAGCAGCTAGATATATATGGCGGCAGGAGGAAACAGTATTAAGGCAGCAGCATTACTATGAGAAAGTTCTTTCTCCTTATCTGTTTTTGAAGGTAGTCTCCTTTTAAAAAGCCATAGCTCCTGTAAAAAAGGAGGGATTAGTGCTACTTCATGTAACAGCTCAGACAGATGAAACACATTTAACTATTTATAGTTTCAGAAGATTCTCACGCAGGGAGAGATTTACACTTCAGAAAAAATTGCTCAAAACCTAACCAACGCTAGATGCCATTTAATAGCAATCAGGTATCCTGTAACAGTGTGAGGAAGCTCACTGTTAGGCAGCACAAACTAGGCAACAGTGTGAAACACTGACAACATAGTGAGTTTTTACTAGCAGGATCAGACTTTTAGTGCATAAAGAATCTGAAGATTTTCTGGGGTGAAAAAGCCACTTCTACCCTATGTGAAATTACATCCATACCTGTAAGAACATAGCTGAACTAATACACCGGTAACAAATAGCAGCCAACCCACCCTAAGCAATTCCCTTAACAAAAGTAGCAAGCTTCACAGCCTTACGCAGCTCAGACAAGGAACAAAAGGTGTAAGACTTCCCATTCAAGGTGTCATGATGGAGCATATCCTGTAATAGAGATGGATAAAATAGGTACCATTTCCAGAAGGGAGGTAAAAATCTCACCCTTCAAGTCCCACTTAAGCTTTTACCTGCCTAGAGAGGACAACATCCCAGTCTCTTGAATTTCATTGCATTGCATTGCTTCCTCAAGTGTTGTAACGCCTCCCTGGGAGAGAAATAATCCTTAATGAGATGTTTGGCTTTGGATGAAGAGTCCAGACTACAAGGGGCTTAGGTGCTGCTTATCCGAGTGCACAGACCTAGAGTCTCAAGCTGCCAGAGAAGGAAAGCTCACCTGCGGTAATTATCGCTAGCACGTCGCGAGCTTGGAAGACCAAGGTGACATTTCTACTTTCTTCCTCCCTTCCTGCCACCCACCAAAAAAACCAAACCAAACCAAAATCATTTGGCCGTTTCAGAGTTACGACGTACTGGATCTCCACCTTGAAGGCTTCCTTTGCTGAAATAATGTATCTCCACGATACAGTTTGTCACATTAATTTATTGTTGTTCTTTTTCTTTACATGGCAGACAGACAACAGAGCTTCCAGTCTTCTAGAGCGATGTTCAGAATCCAAGCACCAACCTGTTAATACCACATCGTCACATAGTTTATTTTTAATAAACTTTTCGATATCATCACTGTTGTGAGAGCGCTGCAGAGCTACCAGTGTCAGTCTCGCAAATTCCTACATGCAAAACCTGAGCTTTTTCCCCACCCTCTCTTTGAATTTTCACAAGAATTTGTGATATCAGTCAAGGGCAAAATTTCACGTTTCACCAGCAGGCACGGGGGAGGTTAAAAATTTGCTGCAAAACTGTGAAATTCTGCCTTGGGAGAAAAATGGCATACTTTCCTGAATTTACTGTGAAGAAAATATCCTCATCATTACAGAGAAATGACACCATTTTGAACTGATTCTTTTTTTCTGCAAGAAAAATTAACTCCCCCACCCTCCCAAAAAACCTGCATGTGTTAGCTGAGGGAAGATGATGCAAAGTCTGGTGCAATAATGGGTTATTTCTTGTCAGTGGCGTGGATATTTTTCTTCCACAGCTTAGACTGTAGTTGATCCTTCAGATAGACCAGCACAATATAAAGCTGTGTGCTGTGATCTCTTAGTCGAGTAACATACATTATAAAACTTTAAAAATGGAGCATTTACAACCAGGGACATAAAGACGTGCTTTTAAAATTGTAGATACATATTTACATGTGATAAACATGTGATGTACACACTTCTCTCCTTGAGTTTGTCAGTTATTATGGTTAACGCTACTCTAAAAAAAAGCAGCAAAAATAAATTGCACAGAAGTGACCTCTAATAACCTCATTGGTATGCCTTAAAGGCACTAAACTCAGCAGCATCCATGCCAGAAACTTTGTACTTCATTCAGCTTACTGTCACCGGAAGTTGAGAGGGTCTCTGAAGAACTGACCGTTTAAAGGAGGATTGGGGCTGTATGGCAAGAAAGCTCTTCCTCAGCAACAATCCTCAAATGACCAGTGAAGAACTAACTATATAGTAAGTGTGATCTTTGACAAAACGTCTAACAAAGCTGCACTGGGAAAATCAAGGGCATAGCGACGTGGTGCTTTAGGACAGAGTTTGTTGGAGCTGGTTTCTATTAACACTGTATATTCATTTTTCCAGTGATCTAGGTGCTGTCTATGAAAAACAGGAAGATAATTCCTGTTCCGAGGAACAGAGTTTACCATACTAATACTAGATGGTGAAAGGAAGGAGAAAACATATACAGAAAAGGAAAGATAATATGCAAAACTAAAGAGAGTAGAACTGATATAGAGAGCTGTATGTGCAGGCTAGCTTCTTTGAGACATACGTAAGGCCAGGAAACTATTATTATTCTGTGCTATTTGAGCGAGATTTACCAAGCTGTCTAGCAGATTTGGGTACTCACCTTCTATTAACTTGAATGAATAACGGAAATCTCAGTCTTCTAGACTGCTGTGAAAAATTGCAGCCTTAGTTTAGCATTAGTACATCATATATTTTAAGAGGAAATTATTGCTAGCAAAAAACTCTAAAGGGAAAAAATTCTAGAGACACTGAATGCTGGGAAAGACAGAGCGCAGCCAGCAACGGCACAAGCTCTCCCCATCAAGCCCGCATCTCAGTGGTCTCACAGTCTTGAACTGGAAGCATCACTTCCAAAAATGGGAGAGGATGTAGCTTTTTTATGGCTCATCTAACTCTCAGCATCTCAACCTTCCCCCATACCACAATTGCACTTTGAAAGTCTTCAGTAGGGGTTATTCAAAAAGCCTCTGTCTAAATATTACAGGATCCTCAAGACCTTTTCTTTCCAGCTAAACAACATGTAGATAAAACATTTTTATGGTGAAAACGAAATTTTTGTTTAAAGCTTTTGTATTAGTTCTAAATTTTTTGATTTTCATCAAAACTATAAAAAAGTAACTGTTTTCAGTAATTTTACGCACACATTTATCAATATATGTGTGTGTGTGTGTTTGTGTGTATATATATGCATGTGTGTGTGTGAATATATATATACACATAAAAAAATGATCATTTTTTGACCTTTTCAGGTGGTGGTGGGAAGGTGTATCAAGTGAGTGCCTGGTTTTTCACAACTAATGTGTGTGCATACATAGACGTGTGCTTACCTGTGTGGAGTGCAAAGACAAGGAGAGGAATGTCTTGGCTGAAACAAGGGGGAAACAGGGGAATCTACTCCCTTGGCCTCATTGAAGAATACTTGGACGCTACATTAGCACGGATCCTGTAAAATCCTGTCATGACAGAAGGAAGACCTCAACTCAGAGGAGAAATCTGTGGACACCTGAAGGAGAACACCCTTGCCAGATTTGTGTGATTGTCACCATTTTGGAGCAAGATTTAAGAGACCTCCTCGCACTGCACTTTCCTAACTGATGTATAAGTTTCTGCAACTTGTCTTTACTGGCTGCCAGCTACCTCCATGGATGCCTCCTCTACAGGACCACTGAAACTAAGCATGCTTGTACTGAGGGTCACAAACAGAAAGCTCCGTATTCAGGGGAAAGCACTGCTTGATACTGCATGGCAATGTGCATGTTTATACTCTCATTAAGTAATTAAATCCTGACCAGAACAAGAGCACCAGATTGGCAACAAATGTAACGGGGGCTTTAGAGAAGCAGATGCTTGTCCCTTTATGAAATTGGGCTATCAGTGCATTTCACAGAGATCATTTAACAGGTGGTATTCCAAAAAAAAAAAAAAAAAAAAAGTGGGTCTTGACACACTTCAAAAGCAATGGCATCATGCCTTTTAAAGCTAATGGTACAAAGTCAAGAAACTGGGGTTCCCACAGATTTGAGATGTGGAAACCTCAGCAAAATCTACCATGTTCCAGTGGATTTTGGTGGGATGCCCAGTTCTTTACCCGTTAGCATGTAAAGTAGAAACTAAAATGATGTAACAGTCTTTTCAGAATTTAATTGCATAGTATGTTAAACCCCTCTCTGTTCTCCTAGAAAGAGGAGACGCATCCAAATCTATCAACCCTCCAAACATGGTTCATCTGCCTGCAACTGTCTGAACATTTCTCCATGCTATTCCACTGGCTGTCGATGCATGGACTTCATGCTGCAGGGGACTGTGAAATCACCCTCTCACCAGCATCCACAGTTCATCATTCGCTTGAAGGCAGGAGCCCTGCACTGCGCTCTCTCCCTCTCCCTCTGGAAGGAAGGACAGTATGACAGAAGCGTGCCACTGCTCCCAGCAGAAGAAACCGCTGTCCCTTTCATCTACTGCGGAACCGGTCTCACCTCATCTGAGAAAAAGCAGGAGAGGCAGGAGAGGATAATGCTTGAGGATTACTTCACCTCACCTTTTCCAGTCAAAAGTTTCTAGTACCTGCAAATACACATACAGAGTAGCATTTAATTAGAGTCAAATTTAAGGTTAAGTAATCAGAGTAACTCCCTGGCATCTCCAGGCAACGAGGTACTGAGCTGAGCTGGAAGCAGGACAAGTCATTCAGTGAGTGATGCAGGGGAGAGATGCCCATGCTTTACCCTTTGCTTGGGTTTCCCACAGGCCTGTCACGGGCTCTGTATAAAATAGCAATGGGCTCCATAGAAAAAACAACCAGTTATCCACAATTAAATGGCCTATGCCACAGTTTCTTCTAGCGTAACAGAAGGAACTAACTAGAGAATCTCAGATACAACAGTCTCAGAAATGTTATCTCATTAGCAACCACTTTCATTATTCAAGAGAGAGTGAACGTTTCAATTTTACTAACATTTTCCCAAAATGTTATTTTGTGAACATATGTAATAGTTCTAATAATGAACAGATTTCAGGCTGCAGTGTCCTAATTCTGCTAGCACTAATTTTCACCCTTAGCTTTACACAACTAAGTATAATGTTCCTTAGCTATTATGTCAGCATAAAGGAGATGATTATCTGCAAGTTACAGATGAAGAAACTAAGGAACAGAAGACAAAGTGACTTGCTTGAAGTCAACCAAAAGGAAACCAGCCCAGCATCACCAGTAACACTGGACCAGATCATTAATAAGTCCAAGTTCATACAGCTCCATTACACCAGTTCATCTTGCCACAACCCTAACCAATGTTTTTACATTTTATCATGGCACTACACTTTGCGTTGTAACCCTGCCTGCTCTTTGAGCTTCTGGCATTCAACCGAAGCAGCCAATAATATAGGCTTCTAGGCATTTGTTTGTACAGGAGTTAACATTAGTTCAGCACTAGCCCATTCAGCCTAAAAGATCTCAAAGCACTTTACCCACTACTACTATCAGAGACAAGCAGCGCTCACTCTGAGGCAGGGACAAAACCCTATCCTTACAAAAACCACCACCATCTTCAGTCTCCCCACAAGATCCAGAGGAGCAACACCTCAGGTCTTAAAAGCTCATAAATGAAAGAAAACTCTGTTTATATCTTCCATGAGCATAAAGAGCTGACTCTGCCCTGACAGATTCTTTTGGTCCAGAAGATGTAAGAGCTGCACATCACTAGAGAAAGCCGATCTTAAACCTTTGCCCCTTGTATTTGATGTAACTGAGTGAGAAATCCTATTTATGACTTAGGGCACATTGCTCTCCCTTCAGGCCTGTTTTCTTATCAGTGACCAGTTACAAGAAGAATAACTATGTTGCAGATTTTCTGAGGCTTGGATAGTATTTGTAAAGTGCTTTGCAATCCTGGCCCACAGAAACACAAGACATCACAAGTTCTGTGCATTTTCCGGGAGCAGCATGTGACTTGCTGTACCTGTTTTGGTTTGACATGCAGAAGGGTCTATTCCTTGTAGAAGTGGGCTGTAGTGCAGCTGGATTTCTTGCAGTGCCTGGTGCTGGTGTTATGCGAAGAGGAGGAGGGACATCTAGAGGCCATGCGGAGCCTGTAACTGTATAAAGAGGCAGGAGAAGCTCATGGATCAGGGTACAAGAGAAAAAAGCAGACACATGCCTTAGGAGCTTCAGTAGGTGTTGAGTAAAAACCCTTCACTCCACCCTCCAAGTACTGAGAGCCACTTATGGAAGTAAGAGGGTTTTCTGCGTTGTTCTGAACTTATCCTATTAGTTTATTGAAGTAGGAAGTAAAAAGACTCAACTGGAAGCAGTGTCCAGCCGTCCATACTCCCAGCTGGGAGTTGGGACAAACAGATCAGCAGCTACGTAGAGAACAACTAAGAGTCGGGGGTAGTTTCTGAAGGCAGTTCATAACAGATTTTTTCATTAATCTGTATCCATGAAAAAGGAATTTTACCTTAACAAACATAATACCAAACCTGGTCATTTTTCCCAGAGTCCAAGTCTGCAGTACACTTTTGCCACTACAGCGCTCGCAGACTATACAGGAAGGCACACAGGCAGCACTGCTATGTTGCCTTTGTTGCAGATGATGCACTATTTCACTTCAAACTTTAGACTAACTCGGAGAATCCCAACTTTCTTGGAAAGCAAAAGTGAAACTCAGGGTTTTTACTTGAAAGTAATACATCTCTATCAATTGTGATTCCAAGAAAAAGCCTGAAAACATGAGCCAAGGCAGGAGAAATATAAGGCTTAAGATACAATCTCAGTTCATATATATACCCAAGCTAAACTTTCTTCAACTACAAGTTTAAAAACAAACCCCCCATCTGCTTTTAAATTCTGCATCTCTTGAGAGACTCAGGATTTTTTTTAACAGTTTGGATTGTCAGTCATTGACCATTTGCACATGCTTGTACCTAGTTCGTGCATGCGGGTGCACGCGCGCTCTGCCTCACACCCGTGCGCCTTGCCACACTTGTAATTACATACTTACCTTGTATATGCAAATTCTGCAAAAGTCTGACCAAAATCAAGTTCTTACATTCTTCCAAGAAAAAATGTTTTGAAATACAACTTCCCTACATAACAACATGCCTAAAAATTTAAAAAGCTAGGTTTTTCCCCAGCGTATCTTTACAGTTCAATATATGCTCTTTAAAGGACATTTCAATTAATGACAGTCCTTACCTACAGCTTCTGTAGTGAGGTGTAACTGCAAATTAGAATTAAAGGAATGGAAAGTTTTCATGAAAACTATTAATTATAACAGAAAAACAAAAATAGAAAAAATCTTGAAAAGTAAACATTCTACTCATTTCCCAATTAAGGTTTGCGGCTAAAAATAGTCTGCCAATTTTTTGTTACTGATACATGTAAATCATGCTCTTCGGCCTTGCAAAGTTGACACTCAAGCATTAGTCTAGTGTGTAAGAATCAGAAAGCAAAAATGAGGAAATGAACAAAAGTCAGACTGTATCTTCCCAGATAAAGACTCCCACCGGAGAAACAGTAAAATATTAAAAATAAGTTTAGTTCATTTCGTTTCAGCTCTTTACTATACTGGAAGAGAGGAAGACATTCTCTCGTTTCTTTTTACTTAGAATATTCCTATTTAAGTAATCATTAATGTCAAAAAATGAATTATGATGTGCTCAAGTTTTCATACAATAAATGACATTCATATGTTATTGTGTGCAGTGAGTCCAAGCCTAGATTCTCTGGAAAGCTTAAAACAAACAAAAAGCTTCAAATGTAAAGAGGCAAAATATCTCAGAAAACCAGACCTGCATTTTCAAACTTACTCCCTTATCCCCTCAAAAATCAACATGCTAAACAGATTTTTTCCCCTTAATTTCATCTAGCTTTACAGCTAATAGATCATTGGCTTATTACCTGGAGACAGAGGATTAGAGAAAGACGATAAAGAAGGATTCTTTTTCAGATGGTCTAGATAAAAACTGGAATTGAATTCTTAACAATCGTACTAACTCCTTTTTGTTCCGACCTCAGTTAATTGAACCAGTTGAGCGCATTGAAACCATAAGACAAAAACTGACTGCTGTTTTTGTCTGTACTGTACTGTCTGTACTGTACTGCCTGTACAACCGGGTAGAGCAGGGGTGTTTGCTCTAAGGAAGCAGGTTGGAAATCAGTACCACCTTCTGTGCTGGTATTTCTCAGGCTACATCACAATGTCTAATAGCCCTAAGTAAAATGACTTTTTAATGGACGTGTACTGAAACTTCTATTTATAAAGAGCCCATTTAAAGAAATGCACAGAAGTCTGGATGTTTAAGAGTAACTCCCTGGGTTAGCAAAACCAAGCTGGCTAACCTCAGAGGGGGAGGGAGAGCTGAAATACCCCCATCTCATGCAGAAACAGTTATCTAGATTGCTATTTTTAGCACTGTCACTTTGCACCTGCTTTTGCCATCACCAGCGCTGGGGTAACTGTAGACAGGCCAAAGAAAAGGAAGATGCAGCCTGGCAATAAGGACTTTATTGGGAAGGGTTGAGGGGGCTGCAATCCAGACTAACTGCACCATTCAGCCCAGTCCACGCCGTGAATCGGACAAGAGGAGACAGACAGCACACCCTGTGCAGTATCCAGGATGAACAGTCCTAGCGGCAAAAAAAGGGAATTGTGTCAGGAAAGATACTAAATACGCATGGAAAACAGCACAGAAACGAAATGCCTGGTAGCAGGAAGGACTTGTCTACACTGAGCTTTCTCGGTAAACTACCAAGAAAGTTTAAATCAGGATAGTTTTGGCAAATATACCGGTTTTACCATAAAATAAAGCCAAACCAAATGCCACTTCTTAAACTGAAGTTTCAGTGTCTATGCAGAGATTGCATCATATTAATTAAATTGGCTTTAAAAAGTAATTTCAGTTAAACGATGCTTTTTTTTCCCCCACGTAGACAGGGCCTAATGCTCGCTCCCTTAAACTGAAAGCACACTCAAGCTAAATAGGAGAGACAAAATTCAACAAAAATACAGTAAGTCCTAGCTCTTAGGGTCTTCCATTCTTAGATCTTAAAGCATTTTCTGGCAGAAGTCAGGATCATAAATCCCATCTTTTAGATGGAGAAGTGAGTCAGAAGGAAAGAAATCGACTTGCCAAGGTCATCCAGAAGATCCGTAATCTTAATGTAGAGCCAGGAACCAAGGCAAAGGCTCCTACCACCCCAGATTATTATTCCTTAAATCAAATGGTCTCCAGATAGTTTAAAGGTTTCAACGTACTTCCCTAAATAAAATTCCTTCTTCCATATACCTCCTGAGCGACTGAGCCCTTGGAAGTAACAGCCCATGTAAACTAGAAGGCTAGTTAAAACATCAGATTCTGGCACACACCCTTCCTTCAAACATTCTTGAAATACATTTGGTATTTCTTATGCAAATTACCCTGTCTTCTACCTACTTGGGCAGTTAACATTCCCCCAAGCTGCTAGCTTCCTTCACTAAAAAAGTCCCAGAAAAATCAGCCCTGTTACTTGTGAGATTGAAGCCTCCGAGTGATTTGATACGGTTGCTAGTCACACCAGAGAAACTCAATGAATGGAGCCAAACAGTTGTAGCACGTGATACAAACAGGTATTTTTTTCTAATCGGGGAATTGTGGGCTCCCATTTTTACTTCAATTAAAGTGTGTTTTTGTTGCAGGGCTTATACTTCCAAATCCCTAATTTAAAAACAAGGTGCATACGGTCAGAAGTTTCAGACATACATGCACCCCCTCCAACTTATCTCCTATCAACAGATGTGTCAGGGACATAGTCTATCAAGAGAGTTAATTATCCTTAAGGAAAACGACTTTTAAGTTGATGTGGACTGATATCTAAAGCTATTAAGAGCATGTTTAAAAAGATACAGAGGACGTTTACATTTCTGGATTTGTGAAATCAGGCTGGGCAATTTTATGGGGGGAGGGAGGGAAGGCAAGCAAGGGGGGTGGTAAATAAGACCCCTGGGCTTTCTGTTTCCAGCGAGAACTAAAACATCATGTTGCTAACCTAAGCAGCATGTGCTCTCTTGCACTAGCATACTGCTTAATGGGAAAAGAAATACATAAAACAAGGACTCGGAAAAAACATGAACCATCGATTACATGAACTATATTTTTTCAGTGAAACAGAGATTTAGTGGGACAAAATGCTGAGGAGGATGCGTCTTTTTCTGCAGCAGTCCTGCCTCTGTGTACAAAAACGGGGAAGGACGAGAAAACAAAAAGTATCTCAATGTGTTGCACCGCATCTGTTTTGAGACTTACGTGTACTTATTTGTGAAGGTGATGAAAAAGTTGGGTCATGTGAGGATTTTATCTTGCAATTACATGACATGAGAGAGCATAACATGAATAATACGATTTTATGGTCAGGTCTCTCATGAACCTAAGCTGGAAAAACCTGTTATTGAGATCCTGGCATTCTCAACTTTCAAAAAAGTACATAGGAGCAGTCTCTAACCACAGTGGTTCACAGGACATAATACCTTTACAGTAGCATTGCTCCCTCACAGTAACTCAAAAATTGCTTTTGTTCTACATACGTGCTCTACAAGTGGGATTTCAAGTTTCTTCCTTGTTGACTTAATTCTACTCCCACTGAAATCCTGCTTCAGACCACCACCAACCTCAGTGATGAACATCAAATCAACACTGAGTACTGCTGAAAAATATTTCAAACCGTACATAGAATTCACCTGGAGGCCTATCTAAAAGTAATGCGACAATGTCATTTTAGTTAAACTTAACAAGATTTTCAAAAGCAACTAGTGATCGGAAGTGGCCGCTTTAAAGGGGTTCAGCACTCTGAGGACGGCCACTCAGCTTTTTTGAAAAATCTGACTCCTTGAGGGGATTTCATACTGAGCTCTAAGAAATTATTAGTCACTTTAAGAAATCTTGGTCTAGGTCTATAAATTTGGATCAACAGTATCATTTCAGCAATTTATCTTCCTGCCCTTTTAAAGAAGGGCAGAGCATTGTACGAGCCAAAAGGTGAAGAACGTTGGATTAAAAATAGCTGTACTCAAACACATCTTCTATACTGCCACATAAACTAATCTGAGAATTTGATAAAA